ATACATGTTAAAATGTCTACCGCTTATGTGGCATGCATAAATATATTCCTGAGTTGGACTTATAGAATGGACCTCTATGAAAAGACACAACATCATTTTTCTAAATAATTGTAATAAAAATATAAATAATATTTTTATATATTCCTGAGAATTTTAATTTAATTAAAGTTATTTAATTATTCTAGTATTTTATTTGATAGAAAAAAATATTTATTATCTTTTACTTGTTAGACAAGATTTAGGGTTTTAGAAGTTCTATTTAAAGACTTGTCTTCTATGGTTTTGGTTGGTTGATTTTGGATTGAATAAAAATATATACGCGTTTTCTCTCAATTCTCCCAATCGATTACGTTTTCGTTACGTCAGTTGGTATCAACACACCACTACGATTCCTACACGATATCACCCAAATGGAACGATGTCGACGACATGTGCGACACTTTGATAGATGCGTTGGGACGCTAAACCGAGGTCTTGGGACCCCAAGGAGAGGCGTTGGGATGCCAAGTCGCAAGACACGAGGATATTCGATTGGTTCTCAATACCGCTCTTCATGGCAAGCAAGCGAATCGCGCTCCGGACGTAGCGACCGCGAGAGAATGAATGGTGGACATAGTCGGGACACATGCGGGCGCCCCGTGGACGTAGTCGGAACACATGCGGGCGCCCCGCTCCCAATCATCTCAATCGTTTGTCGGTGACGGTGACTGTGACGTCACCATATCTGAAGTACGTCATTTTTGTAATATGATGGCATGAGACGAAGACTACTTCGCCGCCGATCGGTGATAGGAGGCTTCTTTTCAGGTCGAGATCCCGAAATTCTCCGGTGGCTTAGAAGCCGCCCTGTCCTTGGTTGACAAGAGTTTAACGGAATATAAGGGTCTACCTCTTTTTTAAGACGAGGGATCGACCGAATATAGGGGTCTGCCTATTTTTTATGTTGAGGGGTGGGTCGACCGAGTATGAGGTCCGCCTATTTCTGATGACGACAGGGTATAAGTGGTCGGTGAGGTAGATGGAGTGGTCGAAGGAGGAGATGGAGACATCTTTCATATTGAAGAAGCGACAGCTGATGAAACTGTTGGAGGGGCCACTGAGGGCGAAGACGAAGCCGACGTGTGTAGCAGAGCTTAGGAGGGATAACTGCAACCACTATAATCTAGTTGAGTAACACAAAAAGCAACTTTGAGATGCAAAACATGAATTTGGAGAAAAATTCTCAAATCATGTTTACAGTATACATGCGTGCCTACCTAAGGACCCATCAACCCTTTGGAATCACGAATTTGTTCAATATCTCTTTGAGCTACCACTTGCAATTGTTAATTGTTTCTGTAAAGATAAAAACTAAGTCCCCCAAAATTCCACGTGTCAACAAAAAGGGTAAAACTAATATAAACCCTTGACGTGGAAGGGGCATTGATTGGCATGTAGGCTAGTGTGTCTGCAAGGAGAAGTTGACAACAAAAACATTAAAAAAATGCTCGATTTTTCGCTCGGGAGTATACCAAGTTATCGGACCATAAAATTAGTTCGGTTAGTACTGTGGAGTAGATGAAGATTAAATTGCGCCGGAGCGAATTCTTGTCGAGAGAAGGAGAATGATGGAGATGAGGACAAGCATGATCTTTGGGAACTTTAATTTAATTATTTATTTATTTTATTTATTGTTGGTATTTTAGTCTAAAATTTGTTAGTAAAGCTATTTAACTATTCTCGTCTTTTATTTAGTAGGAAAAATATTCAATTATCCTTTACTTGCTAGACAAGATTAGAGTTTTGTAGGGGTTTTATTTAAGGACTCTTATTTTCTTGTGTTTCAGTCGGTTGAATTTGATTAATAAAGATACGAGCATCTTTCTCTTGTTTTATCTGTTTCGTTATCTTTTCACTTCTTCAAATTCTTTAAACAATATTAGGAAAAGGCATACAAGTATAGACATGTGCATAAGGAAAACCTTAAATGCTAGAGATTCATTATTATTAATTGTACTAGTTATCTATGATGTAGTACAAATTACCCTCATTTTTCTTTTTTTTTTTTTCGAAAAGGGAATTAAAAATTAAGAATTAGTCACTTCTATTGTCTTGACTTGAATATTCTCCACCATAGTGAGTGTTTGAATAAAAAAATAAAAAAATAAATAAATAAAAAATAAAAGAAGAAAATTATGCCTATAATCATCAACTCAATTGATTGCTAATTAAATTCTACTCTCACAATTATGAATATAAAGTTGGACAAAGGCATGGGAATTACGGCCTTAGCGCCAAATGGGCGACACAACTTCAAAATGTGGGCGAACCACCTAGCACTGTCCACGTGGCACGTGTTTTAGTCATGGTCAAATGGCGGTGCACCAGTGGGGACACGTGTGCAACCCCAAAACAGAATAATTATACCCTACTGCTCACCACATCGGGTTTGAGCTCTTAAATCGCGCACGCAAATCATGAAATCTTTTTGCTAGACGTGGCCACCGGCAGGTTCTAATCATTGACCGTGAGTCTTGAATCGGTCCGTGATTTTATTCCGACCAATTCAGATTCATGAATTTTCAAACAATGAACCGCCAGTTCTCGTATTTGAACCGAAATCGACGGTTTATTGCCAACATTCTAATTTAAAAATTAGGTTTTTAACTTTTTCTTTTAAATTTTTAGTATTTTTGTATTATTATTATTATTATTTTTAATTTTGTCGATTTGGTCCTGAACTAATGGACCAGTTCTGAACTGAGAACAGATGGTTCCTTGAACCAGCACGTATATATACCCATGCCAATTTAAGAGATGATAAACATGTTAGTATTATTTTACATCAAGCTATCTGGTGTTTTGAACCGTAAGATCCACAAATACTTGCACGTATGTGTGTGATCGTGTGCAATTCGACGACTAAAAATCATGTAGGGCACTACCCACGAGTTTAGGGTCAAAATTGCCCCTGCGATAATCAACTTATAATCAATAATTAATAATCAATAATTTTTTTTTTAATTTTAACGAATTTCAAACTCAATTAATTACCTTTTCTTTTTTTTTTTTGGTGCAAAGAAAGAAAGAAGCCACAAGACTTATGCTAGTACTCGACGAGGATACGACACCCTGATATTGTCATGATCAATCCACGCTCCTAATTCCTCAGGTAGAAGTACCAAGCGATGTAATCCAATCGGGTATGAAGCCGCCAAGCCCGCCATACGAATTTCAAACTCAATTAATTACCTTTGATCGACGTGATAGCAAAAGGCATGGCTTGGTTTTTAGCAAGCAGCAATTATAGAATAACTCAATAGTAGTGTCATGTGGCCAGAAATAATGACTCCTTTTTTGATATAGCTTTACTTATTACACCTTTTATTCAAACCAGCTTTACAAAGTGGGGTCTGCAAATTAATGTTAATTATTTTCAGATTCTAATAATTTATTTCTTCCACAAAAATGAAATTAATTAATTAATAATCAAATTAAAGATTATTGCTACACCAACTAAAAAATCAATCAAGAGCTTGAATCAAGCAATGATGTTATGACACTATACAATATTTCAAAATTAATCATGTTCTAGAAATTATTACTATGTAATTAATCATATACTAAATGAGAATAGGTAAATTAAAGAGGATTGAGAATTAAATTAATAATTTAAAACTATAAGAAAAGCACAAAAAATCAAGCACCAAAACTTAACATGACAAATTGACTATATTCTTTTTCTAACCAAAATATTTTATTTTTCACTCCGGTAGACAAACCTAACTATTAGATAGGTATAATATTTTTCAAACAAATATGGATGCTTACACACTAAAATTTCACACTCTAAAAACAATATGAACAAAAATTTATATTTTATAACATATGTATATCATTTTCTACAAAAATATGATGAGTCAACCAACCCAACAGCTAATTCGTCGCACATAAGAACTTATGTGTATTTTTTTTCAATTTTTTTTTTCTTTTTATCTAAAAACCCACATGTTTATACATACGACACGAAAGAATAATTTGCCGAACACCAAATTAAGCAATAAAAATCTTAAGTTGCGTTTCACCTAAGATATTTTAATTGGCGTTAGAATGAAACCTTACTAAATACATCTAGTCTCTCTTTTATAGTGCACTTCACGTGCATGGGACCACACCAGTTTTCCCCAATTCTTATATGGTATCAGAGCAGGTCTAACCTAGGACCTACGATGACTTACTCTTTACTCGGCCTGCAACGTGGGTTTGGGCTTCGTATGAAGGACTCACAAGTGAGTGAGTGTATTAGAGTATCACTTGAGAGTTGTCTCACATTGCTTCTATAGGAAAAATTGGCCTAGCTTATAGGTCTAGTGGGTTACTCCTCTCATCAACAATTTGGTTTTGCGATGGAATCTCACTATGGTGCATCTACACTCATTCTCTACAAAGAAAATAGACAAAATGTATATGCCTAGTAGAATGTGACCTACTCCTACTACCAATTGGTTTTAAGCTCACATTTTATGGTGTGATTCACGTGCATGAGACTACCCATGTTTTCCTTGATTCTTTCAACAACAACAAATAATAATAATTGAATAATTGTATAATAGTTAAACAATCATACTGCTAAAAAAATAATATAAAAGAAAAATACATCTCATATATACTTTTACTAAGAAAATGTGATAAATCAGCATATAAAAAAAATGTGTGAAATAATAAATAATTGAAGAATTGTTAAGAAAATAATATAAAAGAAAAATTTAACATTTTAATAATAAAATGTGATAAATCAGCCTATATAAACAAAAAAAAAAAAATTGCGTAAAATAATAAATAATTGAAGAAGCGTAACTTACGGTCAAAACTCTTTAAATAGAGACACGACGACTGATTTATCCTTTGCAAAAACACAAATTATCCCACTAACGAAAGTTGGATACTTTTCCCTCTCTCTATAGTCTATACATACATTCTACTTTCCCTTCTCTTAAAAACTATTATTACAACCATTCTCTATGTCTGAAGAACTCCGTGAATTCTACTACCGCCACCTCTTCCATGACGGCCACCGCCAGACCCCCGCCGACACCACCGCCGACCCATTCCCCGGCAGCCACTTCCCGGCAGCGACGCCGACCCATCCCCAAACGTTCGACCCCAACCCCTACCTTAGTTTCTCCGAGATCCTTCATGGGACCTCGGACCACAACAAGTATATCCTCCCAGACACCTTCGCCGGAGGCCATAAACCGTCGCCGGAGGCCGCCCCTGGTGGCGGCGAACCGCCCGCCACGCCTAACTCCTCCCTGTCGTCGTCCTCCGTGGAGGCGGCCGCGGGCTTCGAAGACGAGTCGAGCAAGGGTAAAAAAGTAGGGCATCAAGAGGACATATCATCAAAGAGCGAGTAAGTTGATGTAAATTACAAATTCTTGTGTGGGAAGTCTAACTGCTAAGCGAGTCGATCCGTCGTACTTCTTTCGCCAAATTGTATATTTATGTTATGAAATGTCATACTTTTGTTTACAGCCTAACAATATCTGTAACTTAATATATAACTAATTATCTTCTATTTATATGGTTATATTTGATCATTTTGTGTTTATATATATGTGTGGAAAAAACAATGAATTATTATTATTATTATTATTATTATTATTATTATTATTATTATTATTATTATTAGGGGTAAAGGAAAGACTAAGAGAGGGGAAAAGAAGGAAAAGCAAGAGAGGTTTGCTTTCATGACGAAGAGTGAAGTTGATCATCTTGAAGACGGGTATCGATGGAGAAAATACGGGCAGAAAGCCGTGAAGAACAGCCCTTATCCCAGGTATTGACGAATAGAGATGTGATCGGTTTGGTATTTATGCAACTTTTGAAGAATCGGAATTGTTATTTCAAGAATATTATCGATTTTTGTTTCGTTAGGGAATGGTTAGTAAACTCGTTCAGTTAGCTGGTTTTCGATTTTAAAATCCCACCCCTAGTACTGTGACCATATGATATCTTTTCTTCTCCTTAAATTTCTCAAATTAAGGTGCAAGTTTGATGTTTAGTTTGATACGAACAGCTCTGGCGTGTGAACACTACTCAATATTTTCCTTAACAATCAAAATCATGTATGTATGCAAGTGGGCTGATTGTTTGACCCAGGCAGCGTGTTTCATACTTTAACCCTAATTGTTAGTTCGTTGTCTTCCCTCACTCTCCTCCACAAGTACAAAGTCACTATTTAGTATTTATTGTCATTTGTCATACATTAATAATGATTTGGATTTTACTATGTATAGTTTGGACATTAGAACAACCCTAGTATGGACACTTTTTTTTGTATTACATGACCACAAAATCATAAATCATATATGGGTTTCTTGAATTAGTCAATAGTTATGACATCGACTTGATGAATATAATTATCTTGCTAGCTAAATCATCGAGGGTAAACAAAATTAGATGATGAATTCAGTAACGTACACTGGCAATTTAACTATGTTAGTCAAGCTTCATGCATACACTCGTTTATCATACCTAGAGCTGTTAAGTTAAATGAGCCACTCGTGAGATCGGCTCGGCTCGTTTGATAAATGAGCCGACCTCGAGTTTATTTATAGCTCGTTCAGTTAACTAGTCGAACTAAGCTCGGCTCGAATTTTTCTGCTTGATTTTGGCTCGAGTTCGACTTGTTAATGTTGATAAACGAGCGCAACTCGAGCTCGATTATAAGATCAGTAAGTTAACGAGCTGAGCTCGTTAAGGGCTTGAGCTCGAACAGCATGAACTCGAGCTCGGCTCAGCTCGGCTCGTTTACACCCCTAATTTTACCTAATCATACCTAGAAGAAGTAATTAATCAACTGTTTTGATTTTTTCGGTTAATGCAGAAGCTACTACAGATGCACGACCCAGAAATGCCCAGTGAAGAAACGCGTGGAGAGATCATTTCAAGACCCCTCGATTGTGGTTACCACCTACGAGGGGAAACACAATCACCATGTCCCTGCGAACCTCCGTGGGCACGTGGCCCGCATGCTTGCCCCATCGATGTTTGCCTCATCTCTCGAAACTTGCGGCCCAAGCTTCCCGCAGGAACTCTTGCTTCACCAGATGCCCGATCACCTCTACGGTTATAATAACATCAATGGCGGCAGTTCCAACAATTTGTACCATGAACGCACATCAACCCCACATAACCATCACCAGTTTCAGCAGTTTCCAGATTACGGGCTTTTGCAGGATATAATTCCTCCCGTGTTCCCCAAGCACGAGCCTTGATCGATCGACCCTAGTAACAAGGTTTTTTTAATATGCATGACGATGTTTTTTTTTTCTTTTCTTTTTCTTTTTCTTTTTTTTTCTTTTTTTTTTTTATGTGGAGTGGAAGAGGGTGGTGTTATCGATTGCAAAGCACGGTTATTTTACAGGCCGTTGCTAGTACCGTCTTATCGGCTTGATCACCATCTTCGTTCCTTAGTTATAGCTCCCAACTAATACTTGGATCTTGCATTGTAATGCATCTCATACTAGTGTATCATTGCATTGCAAGTTATAATATTATGAAACTAGATATGTTATGTTTTGGCATACAACTTTAAGCTAATTAAAATTTGATGACTTGTTTGATTGCTTCTTCTTATGGTAATGTACTTAGTAGTGCTTGATATATATATATATATATATATATAT